GCCGGGCTAACTAACTGGAATTTAAATTTCGCTCTGGGGATTCAGATGATAGTTCTGCTGCAAAAAATATCGTGTTGCCGCATTTATTTGTTTATTTTCTGACATTGTCATTCGTTTTGATACTTTAGTTTTGAATTAGGAGTTTTTGGTTTAACTAAAGAGTGTTGTGATACTTTGATTTCAAAATGTCTACTAGCAGACAGTCTTTCGGACATTGTTCTTTTAGAACCTTTATTAGTGCGAAGTGGATAGTTGTTAGCTTAAAAATCGATGGAAACTCATCAGAACTTAAATAGAATAGTTTTGACTATCGCGAAAGCGGTAGTAATGAGCCTTTATGTCCCTTAAGTGCTGTTAAAAAGGTGAGTTTTGTTGATATAAGTTGAAATAATAACTGTTTATATATTTATAATTAATTTATTTTAGTTTCCTAAAATATTTTGATAAAAAGAAAATATAAAAAAGTGGGCAACGCTGTGTCGTTCAAGCTTAATCATTGGTTTGAGCTATATAAAAGTAAATCCTTTATAAATAATCTATATTGCAATTAAGTTTAAAATTTCTATTTATTATAGAATATTTTAATAGGATTAAATATTTATATAGAAGGATATTCTATTTATAAGAGCGCTGCGTGATTACGTTGATAAATAATCTACTGAAAACAAATTAAAGCAAATCCTGGATTATTCTATTTTTGCTGCATTAGTAATGAAAATAGGACTTAAGTATCCAGCTTAATCCGAGATTAATTTAAATAGTTATTATAGAAAACCGTGTAAGTATCCGATTATAGCTAGCAAATACGTTTGAAATTTCAATTTCTAAAAGCAAAATAAGGATCAGGAAGCCTGGAAGTATACCATACATACTGCAAGCTCACAGAAAACTTAAGTCTTTTTTTGATTTAAGTCATTAAAAATGAGTTAAAATTAAGTCATTAAAATAAAATTAAGTCATTAAAACTCATTCTTTGAAAGCTGACTTAAGACATAAAATTTAAGTCTTTTTGAAAATTGTGATTAAACCTAACCTAATTCCAACCTAACCTAACCGATTTCTTTTTAATTATTTCTCCTTTCTTATGGCAAATATTACAAAATTTTAGGAAAAATTGCATTTTTCCTCACTTCAAAACTTTTGTTTTGTCCAAAATTCATATCTACTTCGTTTTATAAGATATTTCTTAATTTTGAGGACCTAAGGTAAAACATTCCCATAAAATATTTAAAAACAAACTAAAATCCAAAAACAGTATCCACGACAATCCATCGTCGTCATACCTATTATATCTCGTATTAGCCGACTGAATAGATTCCCGTGAACTAGTCTTTTGAATTAGTTCCTCTATGTCCGGATCCGATAACATACGTGCGGGCACTCCCCTGCGCCTATCCTAGCAAACCGATCGCCTGGAAAATCCATAATCGTAAACTAGTCTTTTATTTAGTTCCAAAAGGTTCCTTTAGATCCGGATCCGATATCAGCACGGCTGCTTAGACAAGGGAAGAGAGGGGACAGACTTGGAAGCTTTATTGTGCGTGGAAGTTGTCACCATGCAAGATTCTCACAATGGCGTAGCATCAGAAATTAGCTTGTACACTAGAGCGTTACGAAATATTTAAACGACATAAACTAATATATCGTTCATTCTTGAAAATGCATATACAATTTTGTATTTTATAGTCTTACCTTTATAATATTAGAATATCTAAGTCGATAATGCAAAATTTACTTAACAGTCACAGTGGACTGATTATCAAGACAATTATTTATTTATTAGCGTGTGTATAATGTATAATTAAATAAAAAATAATGTAATAACATATATTTTAAACGTGTATATACATATATACTGTATGATTGAAAAAACGGCGCCTTGTTTGTTTGACGAATGCACAATTTCTTAAATGAATAACCCAATGTTCAAAATTCATTGAATCCGTAAAAGCAAGTGTGAGGGTTGGCTAGATTCATTATTATACCGTATAATCGACAAAAAACGACGTCCAGTTGGCAGGGAAATTACGATCGATGACATTCCCCATTATTTCTACATAATAAAATGACATAAATATTATACAAAACGACATCGAAAATCATATTTTACCGATGGCTTTGACATGATGATCGCTGTCATTTATATGTAAAATCAGGAATGTCGTCGATCGTCATTAAATGGATGGCTGCCAGGGACGTTACCTTGACTGTTACGGGAATATTTAATAATGAATTTAACCATTACCCTTATTGGCCTAAATTCAATGAATAATTGACCAGCAATATTCTCCTGATATTGTCGCCAAATGATTTCTTTCTCTGGGGCCATTTAAAAAAACAGGATATACAAGGATAAAAGTTACTTCAATCACAAGAATATCCTATTTTTAAGAATATCCGAAAATTCGAATTTATCCACAAAAAAAAATAAAACAATTCTAGAAGCTTTGTTATTTTATTTATTTTTAAATTCTTATTAATTACTCACTGAAACTATTATTATACACTTAAATTAGCAAATTTTTTGAAAGAATATTTAAAAAATATATGTATGTAGTAACAAGAAGTAAGAAGTAGCCCACCACAAATTTGTCCACCCCCACACAACAAATCTTGGAAGGTAAATTCAAGTTTTATATAACAACTATACATATAGATTTTTTATCACTAGAATTTTTCATTTTTTTATAATTTACAATTATTTTACATATTTGATAACAACAATTTATATTATTTTTTACGTGTAAATATATATAAAAGATGTTTATTGTAGAAATGTATTTCTCTGATTATAATTCCCTACACTAAACTGGTGAAATCCGGTCTGAAATGACAATATTTATAATAATAAAGCACTAAATAGGTAAATTTCTGAAATGACAATTTCATTTGACAGTTATCTTTTACCTTGACTGGTCCTCATAAGTAAATACAGGGCCATAAGAAAGGAGAAATATTTAAAAAGAAATCGGCGATAACTCGTAAACGGGTTAATCAAAAATATCTAGTTATTCTTTTGAATGTGGGTTTTAGTGCTCTTCAATAAACCTAAATAGAATTATCCTCTAAAATAATTAGGGAAGCCAATAATTGACCCCATTAAAAGTTACATGGGATTTCCTATGTCCCGTCCGACGATGCAACACCCTTGAATTTGATTTCAGACTTAAATCATTTTGATTTTAGAAATGACTTAAAACTTAAGGCTTAAGTCTTTTTAAAACTGACTTATTGCAGCTCTAATCCCAACCTAGCAATAATAGAGAGAAATACACTCTGGCTTGTTTTTTATTCTTTTATTTCTCTTTCTCTCTTAACATTTGAAGTTTTCCTCTTTTTTTGTTCTTTACATTTTCTTTTCTAAGCCCGATTCCGCAAGCTCCTTCCTCTAAAGCCATAAATCACTTATTAACGTGGCCGTATTGTATATAAGGTGATTCGTTGATTTAATAAGAAGAAAACAAGTGAATCTAGATAAATGAGTTTTATGTCAGACACCTGGAAAAAGATACAAACTAGAATAATATTATTTTGAGAAAATTGGCGTTGAGAAATTTTGTTGGGAGCTTTATTATATCTCTTTCAGCAGGAAACTTTCCTTTATTAGTTTCATTTTCTTTGACGTTAATGGGAAAATTGACTAACTTTTCTCAAATCTCTTCGAAACCGGTAGACAAAAAAAACAACGAAAAAGTATATATAAAATATCTCAATAGTATACTCTGTTTTTTTTTCTCAGGTAATATTTCGACAGACGATGACAGAAGAAAAGCAGATGACGTCCATACCAATCTATTTATTTTACTAAAAAAAGTTTGTAATATTTCTTAAGTTAACTATGGATGGGTTTAAATATAAATCCGTCATACGTCGTTTCTTGTTGTTTTAAAACAGTTTTATTGGTTTATTTCAAAGATGACAGAATGACGACAAACGGACGCCGATGCGTATGAACTCGCCTTTAGATTTTTGAGGCTTTTGTCAAAGTCTTGCCAAATTATAGGTTATAATTTTGTGTCAACTTATGTCAAATACCCTGCGTTTTGGAAGATGATGCATTTTGATTCGTGTTATTGCGTGTGTTTTGTGTCTTTTGAAGTCACGTCGAGAAAAAATCGAGGGAAAATTAACTGTAGACCCAGAGCATGGTTTATAGTTAATACTCGGTGTCCAGGCAGAAAGTCTTATATACATATAAGATTACCATCAATAAAGTGTGTATACCATCTCGGCATAGATAAGTACATCTCGTATATGGTATAAGGGTCGTACTAAACATATGTATACTAAAACTGGAGTAGCTGTAAAATAATGACACGGTAGGTAAATAATGGATTTTAATACTGCAGAAAAATAATGTCAAAAGGTACTGGTTCAAAAAAATTAAGATTAAAGTTAATTAATCAACCTTTTTAAGGTATGAAAGTAATAAAAATATAAACCCTGTGGTGTTTTGTTCTTGTTTGTTTTGGATTAACGCATACCGTTTTTTTTTAAATAAAATTTTGAAGTAATCACTTGTCAGTCAAACTTTAAATATATTAATTTCCTGCTATGCGTTCCAATTGTACGAACTTATTTCTTTGTAAAATAAAATAAACTACTTTGAAATTAAAATGACAAACACATCTACCACTGTCAAGGATCTTGTCGTTGGGTAGACTATAACTAATTTTGTATTATTTGTCAATGTTGTTAAAGATACTTCTTTCATAATAACAAAAAATATCTCTATTTGTTATTTATTCAAAAATGAATTATTATAGGCCTACGGTTATATCATATATCACCAAGACGTAAGATGAAAGCTCAGAAATAGTATCATAATCCTAAAATCTCAAATTTCACACTCTTTGTTCTTAAGCTTCCATCTTCTTCTTATTTCTGTCTCTCAAAAGACAAACAAGAGGAGAAGATAATACGATTTACTTCATAACCGAAAATTTTAATTTTAAAAAGAGGATGACCAAAAAAAAATAAATGAAAAAAGTACTACTCACTTTGTCTCTTCCGGTGGCGGCGTTTTTAGGCTTTTGAAAGCCTTGAGCCACTTGTTTTTCATGCTGGCCGTCGATGAAGCCGACATTTTTCGTTCGCGTCCACTACCGGTTTCATTTTCTAGTTTGTGAGTAAACAGTTCTTTCTGAAAAAGGAATATTACTAATTAAAAATGTGTGTTAAAGACAAATACAGTGTTTTTATTTTATTTTGTCTCATTTTGTGCAATCGATGTAAAAGGGCCCTACACGCAATATGTGAGAGACTTGAACGGCTTAAGTATATATTTTTTTAAATTAATAATTTAAGAGTTATCAACAGAAAAATTAATTTTTATTTTGACACCTTCAATATTTTTAATTAACCGAAAAGAATTTAAAATTACCTTTCCAAAAATATAGCACACTTGATATTTCGTTATAGTCCCCTTCGAAATACAGAATTTTTAAAAGTTCGCCACTTTTAACTAGTAGGCTTTGGATCCCTTATTGATGATCTGCCCCTAATGGAACTCGAAAATATGTTTTTCCAGCAAGACGAGGCATCGTCTAACATCGCTGTTAAGTTATCAGCAATTTTTTGCAGCCAATTTTGAGAATCATTGAATAGCTAACCAAGGTCCCAGCCGTTGGTCGTCGAGGCCGCCGCGCTTAGTGCCTATGTATTTTTATCTTTACGGAAGGTTCTTATTTTTAAATTGCCCGTATAATCTAGACAATAATTAGAAGTACTTAACGGTTGAATTCCGAGAGAAATGTTCAACAACGGTCCCGTCTGTGCATAACAGAAGACGATCGACATTTCAAACACCTCCTGTAGCAAAATTTTATGTCTCGGTTTGCTATTTATTATTATTGTTATGAGATATAATTTCAATGTGTTGTTGTTGTTGTTAAGTATAGTTTAAATTGTTATAAAATTCTGCATCTTTAATTACAAATATTATTTTCGTTTTAATTGCCGGTCACATGCTAGCATTTATCTGTTTTGCAGCCGGCATCGTTCCAAGCCTACCCACCAAGCAAAAAACCTCACATTACATTTGCAACATTGCAGTCAATCCCCAAACAGTTTGCTTTGTAATGTTGGTTTCTAAACGTTGTGTCGTGATTGATGAAACCTTGCTACAGAAACATTGTTTTTGAATGGTGATTAGAAAGTTTTTTCTGCAACATTGCAACAAAGATTCAAATGAAAGATCCGCGAAGTTAATAATAATTAATAATATAACAAATATACCATATGATCGAATAAAACGGCGTCTAGTTGGCTTTGAAATGAGTATCGATGATCCATATAATTTTATATATAAAATGACAGCGATTTTCTTTTCATAGCCATCGTTGACGCTTTTTTTTTTCGAAGTTAGGTAAGGTTAACGCACTTGTTTTTTTTACGTTTTTGGTATCACGTTTTATGCTTTTCGAATGAGATTTTAATGAATGCAAATGTAAGTATAATTTTATTATTATGTGTGTTTTAATAATGTTTGTAGCCATGAATAAGTATAACAAATTTTGTTTAGTTTGTTTTTAAGTTAAATTTTATGTTTTAGGTTAGCTTTCAGTCAACTAAAAATTGAAGTAGATAAAACCAGGATACGAGTATATCAATCTAATGATAAAATCGAACACGAATAATATTCAGTATTATATATTTTCAATAATTTTTTTAATGATATAATCATTTGAAATGTTTAAAATAAGGACATAAAGGGGCCTTAAAGATTACTGTCACAAGAGGTAAGTTTCTCATGGTTTTTTATTTATTACTACTGATTGTTTTTATTTTTACTACTTTAGAAATGATTGCATATAGATTTCAAAACTTTACCGAAGACGAATTTGAAACCATGAGTAAGACAATTCAACATGCGAAGACAAAATATGAAAGGTCCAAAAAATCAATTAAAATATAAGTTTGCTTTTCCTTGTACATATATCTAATGTTATACTTTCCTTTTGTATTTTTGAATAAGAAATATATAATAATGTTTATACTGTACCTATATATATTTTGTATTATTTCAGACTTTCAACTTCAAGATTTTTTTTTAGAAATTCGATTCAAGAGGTCAGAGTTGAGTAATTCCTTATTTAATAAGCAGCCAAAAAGATCAGTAAGTCCTCAGTACTTAACAGTATTTTTGATATTTTTGAAACAAGTATGTGATAAATTTCTAGTTTTTATTTGTTTTTTTTTTCAATTTGTTTAACAAATTCGACTTCCTTGGTAGGGAAGTCAATGGATATAGAGATATGCATATTTTTATCAATATTGTTTATGTTTTTCGTCAATACAATATTAGTAAAAGTAGGTATATTATACGTATCTGAAAGTCTACAATTTAATACCCATTAATGTTTCTGTTGATTATAACCTATTACTGATGTATTATTGTTAACATAAAATTGCTTATGTTGCTAATGAAATGGTTTTTTATAGCAAACATTATCTATTTTTTGCTATATTATTTTAGCAATAAGCCAGTTAATAAGTTATAACAAAATAGAAAGTATAATGGATAATAAGTTTTGAAACATAGGTACAATATAATTTTACCAATATTGTATTGACGTAAAATTAACAATATTACTAATACATCTCAAATTAGTACTTTCCTGAACGTTACATTAGCAACGTTTCAATAATATTGTGTTTTTCAACCTTGCACTGCAATGTAATTTGGCGGAAGATTAAGCTACCCTGCCACCTTGCATAAACCTCCCTACAATGAAAAAAGCAATGTTACACCTTGCTTTGCGAAGTTTTGGCAATGTTCCAGCAATAAATTTTGCTTGTTGGGTACTTATTCAAAGTGGGCGAATTTTTAAAAACTCTATATGTCGAAGAGGAATCGAGCAAAATATCAAGTGTGCTATATTTTTGATAAAGTGATTTTAAATTCGTTCAATGAATTAAAAATATACAGAGCGACCAATATAAAAAATTAAATTTTCTGTTGATATATTTTTATTATTAATTTTTAAAAAAATAATAGTTAAACCATTGAACTCTACGTAAAAAGATGCTCTGGAATTGTTTTCACAAAAAAAAACAAAATTATTCATAGCAAAAAAGTTACAGCAATTTGTTAAAAATTCACATTTTTGAAAAACACCCCGTAACTCCGAAACGATAACAGATATCGATGAGCGGATTTTACCATCATTTTTTTTTTGATAAAAATTGATTTTCAGACACCGATATTAGTTTTCGGAAAAGGGTGTATCCCTTTAAAAATGTCCAATTTGGACGTTCAAATTGATAATCTGTGGTAAATCCAATTGAACTCTGACACTTGGCTGACGTTGGCGTTTACGGTTCCTTTTTCTAAATATTATCATTATTTTTGAGTTTTTATTCACAAATTCTACTTGACTTTGTTCTTTTATTTCACCTGCAGCCTGCAGTACTAATTATATTGTTATAAATAATCTTTTCACCGATCAAGAACTGAGGAATAGGCTGGAAGATATTCAAAATGTGTAAAACGCTTAAAAACATATTAGAAAACATTGACTCGTCCACAAATTCGTGAAAATAAATTAGTCCAGATGTTTGTAAAAAGGTCTCTAATTATTTTGAGTAGTTTCCTCGTATCAGTAATTTTCAGGTTTGTAATATGTATATGATAATAAATAGATTAAAATTTATATTTCAGGAAACAGCGCGGGCATTACAGATTGTTGTAAATCAATTTTAAACAGGTTTAAAAGTTGAGTTAGTAGAAAAGACCTAAATAAGGTAATGTTGGTAATGGGACCAATTATCAAATAACACTTGAAATATATAATATGTACAATAATTGTAAGTAGTTTTTATGAATCTGTTTGATATGTATCGCATTATTTTTATATTTCTTGAAATATATATTGTTTTACTTTATACAGTTACTCACTAAAAGCACTTAAGGTTTGTAACAGATGTAATTAGAATATCAAACACCAAACCAAATCAAAATTATGTTTTATTTTACTGGTATTCCTCACATTTGAAAGGAAAGTAATTTCATAAATAAGCAGAAGGACATTGTATAATACATTCTATATTAATAATTCTTTTTTATCATATACTTGTTAGTTGACACATTACTTACTAGGTATAAAATTTAGTACTGATTCCAAACCTATAGTTGTGGTTGTGACATATTCTGATGTGTTTCTGGCAATTTAAAATAAGTTAATATTTAAACAAACATTTCTGGCTTTCCTGACACAAATTGATATTGTGTGAACACAAATTTAATAAAGGTATAATGTTCTGATTATTACAGTTTGCATGGATGTTTTTGTATGTTGTTATTTTTAATAAAGTATATTTAATGAGTTTTTGTGTATTTCTTTTTCCCTCAGAGGATTGTGTTCTAATCTTTATATATAAATTTTCATAAATTATATCTACAAAATTTATTACCTTATAACTTTTTGCTAAAAACTTTGTAGTTGATACAGTTTAACAGTATATAAAAGAACTATTTAAGTAAGATGTTTGAAAATATATAGCTGTCTTTGCACACATCAATTCAATTTGTGATTAACTGTACTGAAACAAAAACAAATTAAGAGAAATGAGATGATCTATAAACTATAACATGAAATGCATCATCCTATTTCCAAGTCTTCTATTAATTTCACTTATTACACAACTATAATTATTCAATAATCTTGATAATTCTAGGAACTCTCAGATATCGTCAAAACATGAAAATAAAAATTCACTTCCTATAGTTCTTACGTCCCTTTAACTGAAATATAATAACAGGGGAGTTAATATTCTCACTGAGAAAGTTTATTCTTATTAAATAATTTCAATAACATAATTTTATTTATGACAACCACCTAATAACCTAACTTTAACGTCAAGTTGACAATTCTGAAAAATGTTATTGTTAACCAAAGACAAATCAATTTCTGAATTCGCTAACGCCAACTTATTTTTCATTAAAAAAAATTACCAATTTTCGTAACTAGGTCGGCCATACTGAGGAACTTTTAAAAGAATTGTACTATAATAATATAAAAAGATTTAAAAGTCATACCTTGTATGTAATTATATATCGAGAAACTATGGTTAGACTCGTTGAATTTGACGCTTTATGTCAGTTTAATAATATATTTATATATAATCTACCACCTATGTTGA